TGGTCGTAGGGTTGGCAAGGGGAATGAGGGGGAACACTATAACTCTTAAAACCTTCCCAAACGGGATGAGTAGGTTCTCCTACCTTCCCTTTTCCCCTATTATCCTCTGTCCAAACAGGCCCTTAGTGTTCATGCGTTATCTGAGTAGCATGTTTTCCAACCTACAGTATCCAGTGTTTTAACTTTGTTGACCTGAAAGAACAAATATTTTCACCTCCGACTTTATTCTTACCGTGTTGAAGTTATTCCCTGGTGGCTCTTATGAGATGAGTATTGGGCTTCACATGATCCCCTGGCAGCTCTTATGAGATGAATATTGGGGTTCACATGATCCATGCGACCCCCTTTTTCATTTAAAGCTTAGCAGATGTTATGTATTCTGACCTTATGTAATGAATTTCCCATGGGGGGCAAATTTCCATCGGCCGTAGGGTAGTTAAGGGGAATGAGGGGGAACACTTGACACTCTTAAAAACTTCCCAAACGGGATGAATAGGTTCTCCTACCTTCCCTTTTCCCCTATTATCCTCTGTCCAAACAGGCCCTTAGTGTCCGTGCATTATCCGAGTAGCATGTTTGCCAACCTATAGTATCCAGTGTTTTAACTTTGTTGACCTGAAATAATCAAATAATTTACCTCCGACTTTATTCTTACTGTGTTGAAGTTATTCCCTGGCGGCTCTTATGAGATGAGTATTGCGCTTCACATGATCCCCTGGCAGCTCTTATGAGATGAATATTGGGGTTCACATGATCCATGCAACTCCCTTTTTCATTTAAAGCTTAGCAGATGTTATGTATTCTGGCCTTTGTAATGAATTTCCCATGTTCTATTTCTTTGTACCAGTTTATTGTAGGTGTATATGTTTTCTTATTACATTATTTTCTTTCTCTGTACCAACAGAGTATGTAAGGTATTCCCAATTGAATGATGTCCAAATGAGCATCATAATATATGGGGGTGAATCAATTCGCGGTTGATACCATTTGGACTTATAGAAAATATTGTTGACTAATTGACCTATGTTTAAGCACATGATTTTGCAATAATGCAATCAATTAACTGCTGGACTTTAGCCTTTCAGTGGCACAACCTCTTCCTTATGAGAAGTAAGTTTGTTTAAACATGTTCAGTGACGTACAAGTGGAATGCTGGACTTCTCAATGTACTGTGACATCTTCCTCTTTTGCTAGATACTATGGATTAACCATTCTACCCTCACAAAAGATCTTATCTTGTTGGTAATTCATTTGGTAAATGTTTATTTCATGTTGGCAATTGTCTTCTTGCAGACGGCTTATGTCTGTTTGATTTACACGGTCACATCCTTTTTGATATAGTTGGAGTCATATTCATTCTTAGATAGAAGTCTACTCTGCCAAAGAAAGAGAGTGTACAAGGAGTTTCATGTCATCTTAGTACTATCTTGGAGTTGGTGGGGCAGTGGGATTGTAAGTCTTTGTAGCATTACATGCCTGCCTTGTTAGACAAAGTTACATCACTTTAGGGGATCAGCTGTTAAGAGTAATGCTGTTTTCCCTGCAACTCGGATGTGTTTATGAAGCTGATTGCATGAGCTTCAAGCACGCTACTCTTTCCACTTGACTTTTTAATGTGTGCAACAAACTTTCTGTCAACCAGCAAATTAAATTGACGATTTCAAGTCAGAAGTTCCACATGATGCTTTGGAAATGCCTTTTTATAGCCACAATATCCCCTTAGACACTAGCTGTTTATGATACCATTGAATGTATGACTACTAGTGTGTAGATTTTGTTTATCGTGTCTTTTATGTTAATTCAGTTATGTAGTATATCTACTTCCATTCGTGCATGTGCAGGATTTGGACATTTCTCAAGGATCAGTGCTTTTCAATGTTGATGAACCCACTGTTCGAAGTCTTAATGGATGCAGGGTGGCAGACCAAATTCTTCGCCTGGTCCCTAATGTTGAGGTTACACTATTATCACATTATTTATTTATTGTTAATTTTTTTGAACTTCTCATAAATCTTGTTTTGTTACTTAGAACTTCCGCACTACACTGAGATGCTTGAAGCTTTGGGCTAAAAGACGTGGTGTCTATTCCAATGTAAGTGGATTAGAACAAACAATTTTTTTTTCATCTCCTATGTGGACATGTATCACACGTATCTTCCTTTTTTGCTCGTTAGGTAACTGGGTTCCTTGGAGGAGTTAATTGGGCACTGTTAGTTGCCCGGGTTTGCCAGCTGTATCCAAATGCCGTACCTAGTATGCTAGTTTCTCGGTTCTTTAGAGTTTTTACTCAGTGGCGCTGGCCAAACCCTGTCATGCTTTGTGCTATTGAGGAGGATGAACTTGGATTTCCTGTGTGGGATCCAAGGAAGAACCCTCGAGATCGTACTCATCATATGCCTATCATTACACCTGCGTACCCATGTATGAATTCTAGTTATAATGTTTCCACTAGCACGCTCCGGGTTATGATTGAGCAGTTTCAGAATGGAAACAAGATCTGTGAGGTAAGTCTAATACCAATTACTTGGAAATTTTGCTTTCCAAACATATTTCATTTGTTTTCATTTTATGTGCTTCTTCCTACCGCATTCAGGAGATTGAATTGAATAGGACCAACTGGAGTGCTCTTTTTGAACCGTACCATTTCTTTGAGTCATACAAGAACTACCTTCAAGTTGACATAATTGCTGCTGACTCTGATGATTTGCGTGTCTGGAAAGGCTGGGTGGAATCTCGATTGAGGCAGCTGACCCTTAAGGTATACCCTATGCCATCGGGGCATCTTGATGAATATAATTTTGTTCTGTATCTTGCTGATTGAGCTTGAGGACGTGAAACAAAGCAATTATGACCTCTCATGGCATTGATTTTTATAAGTTAATAGTGCTAATATGTCCTTCTGTTTCGCTATTCATTCTTTGTCTGGGCTTTTTCACAGATTGAGCGAGACACATTTGGGATGCTGCAGTGTCATCCGTACCCAAATGAATATGTAGACACATCTAAACAATGCGTGCACTGTGCTTTCTTTATGGGCTTGCAGAGAAAGCAAGGTGCGAAAGTCCAGGAAGGTCAACAGTTTGATATTCGTGGAACTGTTGATGAGTTTAGAAATTCAGTTAACATGTACATGTACTGGAAACCCGGTATGGAAATTTATGTTTCCCATGTGCGGAGGAGGCAGATTCCTTCTTTTGTGTTTCCGGAAGGATTTAAGCGACCTCGGCCTTCAAAGCCTACGAACCAACAAAAATCTGACAGAATTGAAAATGAAGTGGACGAATGTGATGGTAGGTCTTCAGAAAGACAATTTAAGAGGAAAAAAAGTCCTGATGAGGACATTGGAAGGCAAAGACTTGAGAAGCGTCTATCGAGCAGCCCAGATCCAGAGAAGCATTTTCCGTCTGAGCCTGGGAGTGGAGGATCTGATGGAGCATCTATAAAAGTGGAGAGATCACCTAACACTTTGCAGTATCCTGTTACGAAAGTTGATGAAGGCTCAAAATTGACGTCTCCTGATTCTGGAAATAAGATCCCCTCTGATTCAGACACTGGATTTTCTTGTGAGAGAGGTTGCACGGATGAGTTGGTTCAATCCCGTATACAAGAAAAGGTTTTGGAGGCAGCACTTGCAGAGAGCAATCATGGGGTGGAGAGTGACTTAGCAGGGGATTTCCAGGTTCCTCATCTGCACTATGTTTTGCCTTCTCTCTTTGCGAAAAAATTGACTTTCAGAACTCTTGTTTTTCCAAAGTTTATTCCCTTATTTCGTTTATATTCGTCTTTTCTTGTTTTTTAACTGTGAAGCCAAATGCTTCCGCCCTTGGGGTGGTCCTGACAGATCGAGGTGGAGTTAGTTCAGAACCTGTGCAAAAACCGGTGATGAGGCATGCCATTGCTTTCTCTGAATTTTTTTTTTAAATTTCCTTGCATGCCATTGCTTTCTCTGATTTTTTTTTTTAAATTTCCTTGAAACTGTGCTATGTTGTTTTTATCTTTATACTGTCCTGTTTTGCTGTTTTTTGATTTGGTCATGGCAGGCTGAGTCTGACATCAACGGCATGAGTCTTTTGACAGTTGAGTCACAAATGATGGGCAAAGAAGATCGCAGATGAATGACAAGGCACAGCATCTCGTGGTAAGTTCTACTTGACCTTGAAGTTATGGTTTAGACGAAAAGGCCAAATTCGGGGAGAATGGAGGAAGACTAGCAAAGGGGATGATAGAGGCAAACTTGCTCTTAATGTACAGTGACATTAATATGAAGGTTATAGGGGTGTGGTTCTGTATGTTGTGGGGGTGTGGCCTCGTATGCTCGGGGTTGCTGAGGTGGGTGTTTGTTTATCATCTTTGGTGATAACCTGTCATTTGCTTTCTCTTAGAACTAGGTCTTAGGTCTAGAAACTAGGTTAGGTTTTAGGGTTTCTCATTAATATTTTCTTCTTTGTTGGCGCTTTCCTCTCAAATTTGTATACTTCAACCTTGTAATACAGTTTCATGAAAAATGAGTTTGGTATGTGCTTGCCGCGGTGCTTGAGTTTTGATTTATCTATTTGGTTCGGTATGTGAGTGCAGAATATGGCATTCACATCCTATGCTAATTAATTGTTTTGATTTATCTATTTGGTTCGGTATGTGAGTGCAGAATATGGCATTCACATCCTATGCTAATTAATTGGGATGTGTTCGTAGGCGTCTGTTAGGCTATTGTTTGTGTATCAAATGTAGATCCTGCTGGGAGGCTATTAATACTGTGGTGCTGTTACTCGAGCCGGATCCTTTTTTCCGTTTTTGTTGTTGTTGTTGCACTGCTTCCGCCTGTTGTAGGAAAAATTGGACGTAAACAAAGCGTTGGGTTATTCCCCCGGTTCTTGGCTGATGCGCCGATGCGTGTGTATACAAATTACTACAATGTAGATCATCAATTCATTATGATTGTAGTTTGACAGTTCAGGAGTTTGGGCGTGTCTTGTTTACTAAGTGAGGGTGTTAGGGGAGCTTATATTTTACAAGCTGTAATTAAAAATCAAGTATATTCTAACTTTTGAAAAATTAACTCATAAGCTTACCGAAATGGGTGCATATCACCAAGCAAATTACTGTTATAACCGAACAGTTTTTTTATACACTTTTTGTCGTAGAAATCAAGAGCCGCCTACTATAAAGGATTGTTTACGTCTCAATGACTTAATAACAGAATAGCTATTGATGTCACCTTAACAACACAGCAGTAAACGAGAGCTGGCTTTTGCTTTAACGTTGATAACCGCAGGAAGCATTCACACGTCCTTGTACCCTTTGTTTCCCGACCATTATTCATCAAAGTCGCTCGTAATTATACCAAAATTAGTTTCACTATGGCACTCGATCATTTTGTTCCGCCAGATTGAACACGTGATATGATAAATATTTTACCCCTTACGCAAACTTGCTCACCGAAAAAGGTATGCATGTGATCCTTAGTTTACATGCTCTCAGCTCAAATAGTGTTCCTGTATCAAATTTAGTTTTTGCCTGAGGAGCTATTAACAACGTGGTCGTGTTGCTCGAGTGGCATTATACAGTTATTTCTTGCAGTTTCTTATGAACAGGTTCTGGTAACTGGGTTAATAACCACCATCACCTAGGATAAAAATATAACCAGGACGTGGCAGGATACTGAGGGAGAGAATGCTAAATAAAAAGTAAGGAGAACAAACAAAGAGGGTAAGGTGGCCAGCTGTGATACATTACAGGATTCGAAGAGGGGGACCATTAATTCTTCTGGTGGTTAGCAAAGGAAGGCGTTCTTATGCTCTTTACTTGTTATGGTATTTCTCCATCTTGTGGCGTCGGCTCACATAGTAAGGTGAGTGTGCGCGCGCGCGTGCGTGTGCAAAACGTTAATCGTCTGTCCCTCCGTGATTGTGTGGTTGTCACGCCACTGACGTGGATATAATTGGAATCATCAACATATTCAAATAATATCTGACCATCTCAGATATATGTCATGTCAGCGACACATCAATCGAGACCGTGAAAGTACACGACCACCGCTCTTGTTCTCTCTATGTATACCTACAAAAAATATATAATTTAATTATTTAAAAAGATGAAAGCTGTAATCACCTACAAAATAGCTATTGTACGTTGCTAGCTATCGGCAGATCAACATGGCTTTTAGTGACGCCACTGGACTCCACATGATTGCTTAGTTATATAGAAACACCACTGAGACGAAATATCGGATCCACCATTGGTTGTCGAACACCAGTTATACGCTACTAAGGCTGTGCAAAAAGGGGAGGGGAGGGGAGGGGAGGGGAGAAGGAAAAAAAAAAAAAAAGGGCTTTCTTGCTTTAACACTACCAGCGGGACACGACAGTTTCCTTCTGGTGGTAACAGCGGGAAACACTCACATGATCTTGAACCACTTGTTCCCTTAACACTCAACTTTTTCCTCAATCACAATCCGTCATAATTATTACACCAGACTTCTTTGTGAGCCAACAGGCTACAGCTACCTACTCTCAACTGTTTCTTGCTTCCCCTATCCCCATCAAAAAATGGTACAAAGTTATCCATCACATTATCCTACCAAAGGGATTCTGAGGTAACCCTTTGGAATAATTACCCTTGTTGGTTGGCGAAAGGGGAGAGGCCCATAGTAGTAACGTTTCTGTTCTTTTCTCTTTTGGTTTCGGTTGGGATAGATTTGGGTCGGGTTTGGATGGACACTACTGATTCAGGTTGGATTTGCGACACAGCGTACTATCCACTGGGGTTCAGGAGACCACACCCCCCCAGCAGGGAAAGCTTGTCTCCTTCAAGCCTCAACTTTATGACCCTTGCCCATTAAATCTTAGCTTTCTTACAAATTATTATTCTTTTGTTACAAATTATTTGCGGAGCCGATCGTACCGTAACCGCCTCGCACCATGTGGGTGTGTTCTAAACCCCACAGATGTGAGAGCGGGGGGGCGTGTGTGTTCTGGGAGGGGGTGTATTTTATGGTAACTTTGTCGAATATTGTCTCACAAAATGTTTATATATCGATGACCGAAGAATATGAACTTTTCCTGCTTATGATCATCACGAATTGAATTATAATCAGATTGCTTTGGGCCGATTACCAATGTCAGCAATTGGAGATTACACAATATAAACAGCTATGAATTAGACTTGAATCAAAATAGACGAAGATAAACCCCTTAATTCAAGAACAGTTACTGGTTACTAAGATTTTGTTTCTTTTTATATAAATGATTCAAGTTTTTGGCTGGTCAGAAAATTACAAATAATAATTAATAACTACTGATTGTTAAGAATTTCTCTTTAATTTAAACCGGTAGTTTTGCGCTGATTTCCAAACATAAAATTCCAACCACCTCTTTGGTATTTTTTATAGGCGTGGTGGAGGTGTTCAGATATTTCACTGTTTTGGGGGGCCGTCCGTAGGGTGATTACTTATATGCCATTAATCATGACTCATCGAACGATTATTGTTTTAAAACCTATTAGGGGTATTAGGCTGATCAAGTGACAAAGTATGCCAAGAGAATACGATCGATATGATGAATCAAGATAATGAGTGATTAGGAATTTTGTAAGGGTTTTAATAATCTTTCTGTGCATAAGAGCACAGGATGCATGCCCATACTTAAGTCTCTTCATCCATTTATATTTCTTTAATTCTGACAAAACTGAATGAATAGATTGAACCTGCAGATATTACTTAATCGAAGCTGTTTATGGTAGCCAGCGAGATCCCAATGACTTAAAATAAGTAAAATTTACATATTCCAGTATTTAATGCACACTGGAAAAGGAAAATGAAAAATAAAATCCTCTCCTCTTCCTCATTCAAAAAATATGCCAAACCCCAACCAAGAAAAATGAGAAAAAAGAAATCCAAAAAATAATATAAAAATCAGTACAAAAAAATTCCCAAAACCAAAAGAAAAACCGAAACCTCATCTCCCAATCTCAGAGACCTTAATCGAAATCAGCGGCTCATAAAACGTCTCCTCCCCTTTCTCCTCCTCTAACGCCTCCGCCTCACTCTCGTGCCTCCCCTCTGCTCCGCACGTGAGCTCCTGCGCCCTCCTCGCCTGCGCCTCCCAGTCAGTGGTCCCCACAACGTAAAGCATGAGCCCAGCACAACAAACCTGGGCAGCTAAAAGCCCAACCCAAAGCCCACAAAACCCAAACCCGAGTCCAAACCCGAGCCCGATACCAACAGGCATCCCGACCAAATAAAAAGCCCCAAGGTTAACGTGCGCCGCGTGCGCAGGCCTAGCGCTCCCCCTTAAAACTCCGCACCCGACGGTCTGCGGGCAGTTCCCGATCTCGCACAGCCCTACGATCG